ATCCAGGACGGTTTTAAACGTGTTGGAAAAGTCAAAAAGCACTGAAAGTAAATGCCCCACGATTTGAACGATTGACAGAATTCGTCACGTTTCGAGGTCTGTTCTTTGATTTTACGCAACCAAAACGGTCTTTTTTTGGGTCGGATCATCAAGTGTGATGAAAAGTGGATCATTTAGGACAACAGAATAGTGGTTGCATTCCGATGAGCCACCCAGGTACATCCCAAAGACGAAAACCCACCAGCGTTGTCAGTGGCTTGTTTAATTCACCATAACTTTCCGCAGCCGGGCCAAACCATCATACCAAAGTCCCATCGTGAGGAAATCGACAAAATGTATCGAAAATTGCGTCAGCAGCAGGCAGGACCGGCCAACAGAAGAGGTTCGATCCTGCTTCACCCAACATACTCCCCAGACTTCTCGCCAATCGACTACCATCTTTTCAAGCACTTTAATGACTTTCTCACCGGTAGAACTTTCGCCAATCAGGAACTTCATCGACTTCACCGAATCCCAATCACACAATTTTCATGCAGACGGAAATGATCGACTTGTGGTACCCCGGCAAAAGTGTGTTGATTCAAATGGCGCTCATTCAGGTTAAGTTGAATAACTCACTGAGATATTACAGTTATAAAATTTCTGAGATAAACGAATAACACTTTCGAGGTTTTTACTGAACACAGCAACACGTGTTTCGCTATTCAATAGCTTTCTCAGACGACTAAATTTTACGCGATAAAGATTTGAACCATATGACCTATCTATTCCAAGACTTATGAGTTTGCCAAAGATGGTTTGCAAATGCGGAATCGGTTAACGCATTCAAGAAACTACCTCTATGTTCTTTTATTCTTTGGGCAAAGATTATCCCCGTTTGACCAATATAAAATTTTGGGCAAGAACCACGAGTCAACTTATATACTCCTGATCTATCCGACACCAAAGTTTTGTCTGTATCGATTTTTATGAATTTGCTCGAATTATTATTTGTTTGGTAAGTCAATACCAAGTCTCACCTTTTCAAAAAAGGAACGATGTTGTTGGTGGGTTCACCGAAGTATGCCAATATCCTATGGCTTTTATTATCGTTTCTTGATGTGGGGCAGACCAGGTCTGGTAAAATTATCAGTTATTAAGTACGTAAAAGGTCGTATAGAACCAATGTTTGTAGAATTTTGGTATGTTCTTCAAATTTGTGAAGTTGGTCAAATTCAGATTTCCAACAACTAAGATATGACGGTAGTTTCATGGAAAGTGGGACACACTTCTATGGGTGGAGCACATCCGAAACGTCTAATTTTTCCATGACTCTGACGCATAAATCAGACTGAATTCGACCAATGGCATAGGTTATGTTGGTTTCGAGGACCGCTGTGATTCGTGGCTTATTCGCATACACCTGCGACTTAAGTAAACCCCATAAGGAAAAGTCCAACGAAGTCAAATCTCACCATCTCGGTGGCCAGTTCACATCACCTCCACGTGAGATGACCATGTCCTCAACTCGCTTGAGCAGAATATCCAATGTGGCATGAGGTGTGTGGCAGGTACCACCTTCCTCTTGAAACCACATGTCATTGGTGTCCATCAATTGGTGTCATCCAATTCAGACCAGTTTCCAGTGAATCAGTGAGTGAGTCAGTCTGTCAGTCAGTAAGTTGGTAAGTCAATCGCCCAATCTGTCAATCAGTCAGTCAGTCAGTCACTAAGTCGACGAGTCAGTCATTCAGTGAGTCGATTAGTGAACCAGTCAATGAGTCTAGGCAATCGGTGAGACATTCAGTGAGTCAGTCTGTGAATCAGTATATCCGTCAGTGAGTGAGTCGGCGAGTCAGTAAATCAGTGAGTTTGCCAAACAGTCAGAGTCAGTTGTTAAAGAGTCAGTCAGTGAGTGGGTATATCAGTCAGTCACTCAGTCGGTCGCTCAGTCAGTGAGTGAGTCTACGAGTCATTCAGTGAGTCAGTCGGTGGGTGCGTCAGCCGGTAAGTCAATGAGTCAGTCAGTCAGTGAGCCAGCCTGTCAGTTAGTCACTGAGTCAGTAAGTCAGTCAGTAATTCAACAACTTGTGTTGATGAATGTTATATTCTATGGTGACTTAATGCATGAAAACTAATTTGACATATATAGCTTCAAAAAGATGACCGTTATCAATTGTCACAGTTCGGAAGTCCCTATTTTCTTCGTAACAAACGTTTTTTCTGCTAACGCAACATACATCATCGGTGGTATATACGTTAACTGCGAGGACGCCGGTTATATATCAAAGGCTCAGCAAAGACTTTTAAAACTCAATCATAATTCAAAATAAAGATTGAATTAATATAACAAAATCGATGCAGATAACTATTCAAGTAATTTTTCATGCAATACATATCTTCGTGAAATTGTCCGACTCGCATAGTTCTGTTTGTCCTTCTTTCGTGTCAGAAATGATTGTGATCGAGGGCAAACAAATGTAAACATATCACATGTATGCATTTTATGAGGTCACCCTATCATACAATAAAAGAATGGAAAGGCAGAGTTTTCAAAGCTACCGCAAATAAAAAATACGTGAAGTGGATTGCCTCATATGACGCCATGATTTATTTTTTCATAATACCTACAATAAGGCGAATAACAATAATAATAGAGTTTATTGAGCAATGCAGTTTCCCATTCACAGAGCAAAATATACATGATTACCCTTCAGGCAATACAGTGCAAAAATAACAGTTAACACATCTGACACTCCTGTTTTTTTTTAAGTCGAGACGATTTGGTTCAATCTGAGTATAGTAAAATAATAATTGAATAGAACTGGCCGATATTTGATGAAAATCCATATTAAAACTAATTACCACAGTTTATTGTTTTATTTCCACTATATAGGGTTTTACAAAAACCGCGACACGGGTTTCGCTATATAATAGCTTCCTCAGGCGTTCACCAAAGTTTACGCTTGAGGAAGCTATTATACAGGAGTTTACGCTTGAGGAGTTTACGTGTTTAGCTATACTTCCTCAAGCGTAAACTCTTATACAATAGCTTCCTCGAGCGTAAACTCCGGTTTACGCTTGAGGAAGCTATTGTATAGCGAAACACGTGTCGCATGTTTTCGAAAAACCCTATACATTGACATATATTTTCATCGCAACAAAATCTAAGTGCGAATATACTCGTATTCTTGTGTGTGTATTGTTTATTGGGTATGTGGCAAACAATATATTTGAGAAGCATTAAAATCCGTAAATGTACAGTTGAATGTAAGTACTTCGAAAGAGGATAAAAAACAGATAACAGGATCACATTTCGAAATCAGACCAGATCAATATCAGCGTTGAATGGAACCAACAGAAAATTCTCAATGAAAATCACGCGATTCGATAACGAATGTACTTGTGAAAAAAAAATTTAAAGCAGGAATGCTATGGAGCCTAAGAAGTCATACGTTATATTTCAACTTTTTTGGAGTCGAAAAACCAAGAGCTACCCATTAAAATACATTAGTATTGACGTATTTTATCGACCTTTTTTTGGGTAATGGTTACCTTCCACAATCTGAAAAAATATAAAAATTATAATGGAGAACTTTATACATGTGTGGAATGGCAATCTTTTTAGTTTACCCCGATAAGTTACTGCGTAAAAATCAAAGTATTTTTCACAAAGAAAAATCTTCTATTTATCAGTAACTTGTCGTATTTTACAATTTTGCCTAACGAAATAACTACTTTCATTGAAGTTCACAAAAGAAAACATACCTTCGTATTAACTACCGTCATATGAACATCGAATTATACAGAAAATACTTTTTCCTGTTCAGTTTTTACTCAAAAAATTCCTTACAGAATATCATTCATAGGATTGCTACACAATATAGGTGAAATTTCACTTCAAAATGGGGTGAAATTTTACCTCTTTTTATATACATATTCATATACCATAATTTCAAAATAGTGGGAAGTAGATTCTAAGAAATGACTGACGTATTTGTCTTAATCTGTCTCTTGCAATGTCATACGGAAATCATACTAAGCAGATGAGGAAAAATCATGATGAAATATATAGAATCACAACCTTGAGAACAATGTTTTTGATTAAATGCCCAACTTACCCCATACATGGGGTAAGATGGGGTTTTTGTATTACTTTTTAAAAATTCCTCAACTTACGCTAAAAAGTTGTACAATCAAAAACAATTAAGTAACTATTAAAATAATGATTGAAAAAGCCCTCGCTTAGATTTGTGAAGTTTTACATTGTTACTTTCGTTTGTTCACCACTTCTATTATAATATAACCTTGTTCACTATATCATTGTGCCAATATTTGTTTTACTTCTGTTTGAAATCTGTTTTTCCGTTAACCAGCTGTCGCACCCCTACAAACGACAACCCTCGAAACTTGTGCGAGCTCAGGATTAACGAAGTCTTACCTTTTAACGTGTGATTCCTAACACGGATTGGACGATAGTAAGTGAAAATCGATCGTTCAGACGGGGGTTTGAACCACCGACCAAAGTCGGTGAACAAAGCACCCACGTCGAACCGCCTGGCTACATTCAGTAAAACTATATTTGGGGAGAACTAGTGAATATGGAATAATTGATTATAATTAGGTTAGGTCTTTAGTGTTTTTTATTTCTTTATATCTTAATATTCGTTTTTGTTCTAATTCAGTGTCATTATTGTTTGTATATTAGGGTCCATATTTCCTTCCTTTGGAAAATTCCCATATTTTTTCATATAAAGATGGACAAGTAGAAAGATTTTGGCTTTCTTTAGAAATCTACATGTTACCATTTGGTCGTCAATGACATATTTTATGTGGGTTCTAGGATAAACGTGAACAAAGTAAATTTATTTTTCATCGCCTCAAAATAATACACATACTCCACTAAGTAAAAGGAACCCCAATTTTAGAAAATTCAAAAGTGAAAATTGCAATTATTTCATTTATTCCTATATAGTACTGATGGGTGGGAAAGAAATGAGCATAAAATCCACATGACTCACCTGGAGACTTTTCCTTGCTGTTTCCATCGTTGAAAGGGGACATGTATCGTGGACCGCCTGACAGAATTGGCGAACCCCAGAGATTTCGACAGTACGTGGCAAAACCAGCCGGTGATGGGAATTGTAATGGAGAACCGTTACGTTCGGCAACTGCAACGATACAAATCAATACTTAATAGTATGTTTTCACGTTTGTTTTTATGTAATACTATGCTTAAGTTCTGGAGGTTTTGGAGGCTCGTCAACATCGATGACCTCCGATTTAGTGAATTTTGATTTATCCACAATAAAACAGCAGAGAAATCGAAGAAACGATGTAAATAGTTAATTCTATCATTCTTGTGTGATAACAGAGAAGAGAAGATATACTTCTACAGTTCCAGAGGTGTACAGAGAGGAAGGTCGCCCGTTCACGATATTTGTAAATTGGCCATATTCATCTACAAGAGCACTGGATTGGCAGAAAGGACAGCATTCTATAACCTCAACGGTCATCAGATCTGAGACCCTTTGATTTATTGTTGTGGAAATATCTGAACAGTAAAATCTATAAATCAGAACCAGCGTCTTTGAAAGCATCCAAATATTTTATGGTTATTCTTGAACTTGCTTTAGGATCAAAGTGACAGTTCAACAAGGAACAGAAATGGTGCCCCTTTTGGCGGACCCTCCCTTAGTAATGTGAAATGTAATTCGATATATGAAACACGATGCAAAATGATTTTTTATCGTATCAGTGGAACGAGAAAATATTGGAAAAATGGGATTAAAAAAAATGTGGTTATCCTGGTGACATGTGTAATGCAACCAAATGCATCAGCCATTCTAACATATTCGTATAAAGGGAGAGCCAATGGAAGCTATTTTTCTTTCAACGCTTCCTATTTTCGTAAATTCGATGTAGTAAATTTTAAAAAGATTTTTCTAGAGAAAATCAGCTTCGAATGAATTTTACGCATTTTCTTCGCAATTAACACCAAATTTTCATGGTTTAGCGCTTTTTTCATGTTTTACTTGCTTGTTTTATCCTATTCGTCTATATATTTGGTATCACAGCATTCTGACGTTATATGTATGTTCATTATTCTACAAACAATGGTATAGTCGATTGCGGAACGAGTATTAATAATTCAAAGGTAGATGCGCTATTATTACAGCACAATTGTTTAATATAGTTGTTAACCTCAAATGTATGATTGAACTTTTAGTCAAATTCAGAGAGACAACATCAATGGTGAATAGAAAAAACCCACCCAAATGAAATGGTGGGAGGGAGTCAATATTAATTACTAATGGCAAAAAATAGATGGCCGTAACAATTTTGAAAAGTTATAACTAGGTAAAGGTTGGGGATAGTTTGGTGGTGCTCGAACAGAGTTAATTCATGCCACAATGACCCTGAAAAATGTTTTTTATCCAATATGTAATCTCGGAATGAACTTTAGTATAATTGTTCAATGAAATAAATTGATGGGTTTGTCTCTATGTAAATTTAATTTTTTCAGATATAAATAAAAAAATGATTTCAAAAATATTAATTTATTTCAAAATATTGTCACAGTTTCGATCGACCCCACTGTATAGTCAAAGAACTATCTCTAGTATCAGATCGCGTCTCACCCCAATGAATTATTGATGTCTAAGCCCATAAGTGATATAAATCTACGGAACAAAATCGGCTTCATCGTTGCAAAAAGCAGATTATGCTTTCGATAGATGCTTTTCTTCTCCATAACATAAATTGATTACATCCAATCATCTAGACTTAACTGGTCAAGAAAAATTCATTCCACAAACCATGCGGTTTTTTCCCTGAGCACATAGATTTCCTAAATTCCGTTATAATTTGATGATAATCAGTTCATATTTCGACAAAAACTAGACATTAATTACAGTTAACTAGATGTCATTCCCATATATCAACCCTCAAAAGTTGATGAAACTTGTGCGAGTTGAGGATTAACGAGGTCTCACTTTTCAAAGTGCAATTCCTGTTAGGAAAATACGCATTGAAACCACAGCTCAGAAACAAAGCATTGATACTGTAGGGTTATGTTTGTTACAAAATAGTTTACTGGTAATTTATCCCACAACGGTTTGATTCAAGTTTGAAGACGCTGCGTTGTTTAGTTTTGTTTTATTTGACATGTTCGTTGAATTGTTAAATTTATTGTGTAATAGTTATGATCAATGTTTGGTCATCTTTTTAGAGTAGAACAGCTTGGATATCAATTCATTATTTTGAGAAGCACCAAAATAAACAATCGACTTGTTTCGGAATTCTTAAAACTATTGTTTTTTTCGAGATATCAAGACTTGTAGCAGCTGATGTATTAACAGGCGACTGTGCTATTGCTGTGAAGAGAATGAAACCCATATAAGTCTCCGTGTGTAAATCGGAAATAACAAATTGGGGAGTAGGTAATTGGCCTCAGCTTATGATTTATTTCGTTAATCAGAACAATGATGCAATTGTTGGCGCCAGTAACTAGCTTCGACGTCTGCACAAGAAGTTTGTTATTACCGCTTTCATATGACAAGAATATAGACCAGAACAAGTGACAGAAAAAAATATGTTGATTAGTTGTTTTCAATTCGTAATTTCAACCAAACAGCCATAGTGGTTTGAAAAGGGGAGATTTATAAACTAACATCTCATATTCAACGTCATTTTTATTAAAGGCAAGCTGAGTTTTCATCGACCATTTTTGGGTATTTTTACCTTCAACGAACTACAAAATACAAAAATTCTGAAGGAGAACTTCATATACGTGTAGAAAGTGAAAACTTTGAGAAAACGTTTGAAAAGGGAATAATTAATATTGAGTTTTCTCAAAAGTTTTGTCCGATTTGGTGTCATTTGTTTTTGTAGTCTGTTCTTCTTTGCTTTTGCGCAGCAAAAACGATCCTTTTTTGGAAAGGATGATCACATGTGATAAAATGTGGATCCTCTAAGACAACAAGAGACGTTCAGGACAGTGGTTGTACACCAATGACCTACCCAGGCACTTCTCAAAGGCGAAATCCCACCAAAAAAGACCATGGTTACTGTTACACTACCTGCAAATTAATTTGTCAACAATAGATTAAAAAGCGGACAAATCAATTTGCAGGTAGTGGTTCCACTAGTTAATTACCGAAAAATCAATTAGGATAATCATCATTCAACAAACAAAGTCCACATCGGACCAAAAAACTTTAGGTATATAAACAGCTAACCCTTGTCTTTAGATTCAGTATCAATTTGCTTCTCCTGAAGATGCTAACCTTGTTAGCGAAACGCGCGTCGAGTGCAAAAATATCAGTTTGGTGTTAGGGTAATTGATCTCTAGGAAAAGTTTTCAAAAATCGGTTTGCAAAACCACTCACTACATCACCTAACCCCACGAACACACGGCACTGATAAGGAAATATTGTGAAACGGACAATTAGTATTCAGCCAGTCCAGCTAGCCGAGCCTTCATTCCTCAACTACATTTGATAGCACATTTACTAACTATCTGCGCGACTTGGGGCCACAAGTAAGAAATGTTTATGACTGTACTCTTATTTTCATTGCCGTTCCAATTGGGAATGGATAGACTATAATGTGTCACATGGTCTTGATATAATTTCACCACAGAGTCCATAAATAATAAATAATTTAAAAAAATAGTCGCACATAAAATGGGAGAAGTTGTTCCGGGGGCAAAGCAAAAGATTTCGATGATCACAGTGGCTTATTGTAATGTCAATCATATAGGAGTACGTAATAGATAATTTCAAACAAATACCCCATACCCAGATAAGAAACCTAATACATCTCTAATACTGCTTTTGCTGGAAATCTAGAACCGTAAAATATTTGTTATCAAGAAGCATTTATGAGTTTATGGTTATTTTATTGGAACCTACCTGAAAAAAATCAACTGATAAAGTACGTTTGCTTGAAAAGGATTTATATTTATTATGAGCATATATATTATCAATTATTTTAGCGGCTGTTTTTTTTCCAAAGATACCTATAGATTTGTAATTTACGACTTTAAAAATCCCCTGATACCGTCATCGGGCGAAAATTGGATATATCACGCTCGTGATCTATGACTCCAAGAACTCTCAAACCTTGATTATTGATTGGTTTAAAATTATAATTTTTTTATTTCAGTTCAAAGAATTATGAAAAAATACAAATCTAAACAGAAAACTCTGAGGAAGTATCGCCTACTACTGCTGTAGACATGATCAAAGGCGATGTGGTGAAGGTCCCAGTGGTTCCACATTTTTTTTAGTGATAATGGCTTGGTTTATTTCAATTGGATTTATAATAATGTGTTCAGAGAGACGAGTACCTTCATTTCTTTTCGTTGGTCCAGTGTAGACCGAACCAACACTAATAAAAATATGAAACCAGACTCAAATACCAGAATCGTAGTTGATGCGGAACAACGGAAACAACTAGAGCAGCAACTCGAGCACTCCCAGAGCGATGCCTGTGTGAAAGTAACGAATTACATTGGATTTGAATCGCTGGAGATTGAATCCATTTGTAAAAACGTTCTCAGGAAGTTTATTCCACATAAACGCAGTTCTCCAGATGAAAGAGTTCTTAAAAATTGAAGTTCGAGGTGTACTTAGTTGAAACTCAAAACGATGAGCAGCCACAGCCCGTCGCGTATTTCTGATACGTTCTGTTCTTGGTGGAATCAAATGTGCCAAGTAACTTGAACACTTTCCGTGAAAGTATCTATAGAAGAGAAACAAATCTCTAACCATTCTTCGGTGTTCCAGGCTATCAATGTTGCACGTGATGTTCGCGTCTCCAATCAGGCGGATGGCTCTTTTGTGAATGGACTCCAGCAACTTCAGAGTATGTTTGGGAGCAGAGCTCCATGCATGAGAACAATACTCCAAAGAAGGTCTGATCTGAGCTCCATGAAGCATCAAAAGTTGCTGAGGTGTGTACAGTTTTCTGGTTCGGGACAGTTTTCCAAGCTTTTGAGAAGCATCCTTTGCAATTCCAGCGACATGGTTGTGCCAAGACATATTGGTGTCCATTTTAACTCCCAACAAACTTACTGAAGCAGGAAGGGGAATTATCTGACCTGACATTATTATATCCAGTTCGGAGATATTTATCTTCTTGAAGAAAACCAATGCCTCGGTTTTTG